ACTTTTTATCAACCTATCGTTGCCAACACGTTGTGTTTCTTCTGTTCTTTCTGAATGAGTCCATTGTCTTTGTGTCTTCCTTCCTACGTTGGCACAGTCTGACTGTGTTTCAGAGTTGAAAGAAAGAAGTGAGGGAGAAAGGCAAGGAAGGAAGGGAGGTAGGTACGGAGAGTCACATTTCCCTATATCCAATTCTCACCATGCTTTGAGTCCCAACACACAATCTCTCCTCTATGAAGATTTTGCTGATCACATTTTTTTGGACTTAATTATCTTTTCAATTCTTACAGCACATTATCTGTACATCTCTCAGACATTACTTATCCCCCCTTTTGTTGTCATAAATTTATAATTCATTCAGTGGACCCTGTATGAGCATTGTGCTTGCCATTAGGGATGCAAAAGTCAATGAAACCTGATTTCTGACCTCAAAGTGATCACTCTGTGAGACAGACCAGATAGAAACACAGAGAAGCCATATAAACCCCAAAGCATTAAAAACTATGAAATGTGTGAACAGAGTGTTATTCCAGAGATGATGACAAGTGCCAATTTAAGGTTATATATAGAACTGTACATATATATATACACATTTACTCATATGTGTATATATATTCTCATAAATATATATGACCTCTAGCTATATTTATACACACACATATCTAGGGACTTTACTGCTGTGTGTTTATGTGAATGTACTTATATTAAGAGAGAAGTGTTATTCACTCATGAATTATTCCAATTTATTTTCATTTCTCCTGCTGTCTAAAATCCCCCCAGGTCTGTAGCCAGTTGGGTCAAAAAAGTACCTATTTGATAAAGATTATTTGACAAACCCAGGACTCCCAACAATTTGTCTGTTTTTTTTTTTTTTTCTCACTGTACATCTGTGTTTCCTGAGTCTCTCTCCAAACATAAAGAAAACAAAAGTTATGATCCCCTCTGGGCTTTGAACTCTGGATTTCCCCCTGTTGCACAGAATTCAGCAGATACCTTTGTAATTCATCCAAGAGGTGCTCAGTGACTATGTGTGGGATTCATGAATGAATGATGAACTCCCTGAGCTCGTGGATGTGTTTTTCTCCTCTGTCTTCCTGCTTGTTGTCTTGTGTGTAAGTGCATCTAAGTGTTTGCTGAATGGAAGAGCATTGCATGGGAACAGAATGAGTGTGGCTAACTCACAAGGCCCTGGGCAGGGATGCTGGCCTTGTCTCCTACTGGTTATGTGCCTTGGGGACAGTTTGCTTAGGCCTTGGGCCTCAGTTTCCTCATCTGTCAAATGGAGATACTCTACCACAGCTTAGTCTCAAATGTTAGTGTGAGGGCTGAGGAACACCCAGTGTAGTATTTATTAGCACATATTGGGGTTCAATTTGTATCTGTTCCTTGCTTTCTTCTTTGCCTTTAACTGTCCACTGGAGGTATCTGCTGAAGGGGAGACAAGTCAGACTTTGCTATGGATCTCAAACTAGCCTTCCCACCCTTCCTGTATCCATATGTACCCACGGTGATTCCTGAGATGCAGGCACTTCTCTTTCTGCTCTGAATCTTGCCCAGTGGCCTGGGGCTTGGTAGGTGATTTTACTGTGTCTGCCTTCAGCTTTCTTTCCTGGCAATTCCCTCCTCTCCAGGGGCCTTTGGAAGGCTCTGAGTGATGAGAGAAACAAGGGTTGGGTAGGCTTTCTCTTGCCCTTAGTTTTGTTTGCTTGACATAGAATACCTTAAGGCTACAGGTTACATTATCATTTTTTCATAACTCTATTATAGTCCTGTGCTGGCTACCTAGGAGAAGAAACTTCCAACCTCTAATTCTCAGGATTTGGACCTTTTCTCTGGGGAGCAGGGGTGACTTTGTTGAGACATCCCCTTATATTTCTCTTACTGCCTGCTTTGTTTGGAGGGCTCACTCAATTTAGAATAATGAAGGAGATTCCAGAGCATGGTCTCACAGAGGTGGAAGGTGGTGTCTCTGCAGTGCTGAGCCCAGAGAGGAGTCCCAGTGTGTTGGATATTTCTCAAAGTGTGGTCCTCTGATCACCACAGGAGGATTTCTGGATCCTACCTATGACCTGCCAGGTCCGACTTGCTGGGAGTAGGGCCAGGCTACCCAGTGACAGTCTCCAGCTTTGCTCACAGAGTGGGAGGAACAGTGTCCTGGGCACATGGTCAAGGTCACACATTATTGGGTCTCTAAGTTGGATTACTTCCTCTTTGTGCTTTAATATCCTTATCTATAAAATCAGGGTAATTGACTAGATAAATGCTATCGTCTCCTGAAAATTATGATGTATTATCAAGTGCTATTTTGTTGACTCTGAAATGATTATTTTTAAGAACATTTGACATACTGAGCCTGTCAGGGACATGAGCCCTGCTCGAGTTGTTTGGAATCTCGTTGAGAAAGCAGCTCATGTGACATGCAGATGCTGTCATGGCTGGGCTCAGTTAAGTGGCAGATTATGTGACTTGGTTTTGAGTACAATAGGACTTTGGAACAGAGCTCTTTGATGATTTCTGGAAAAAGGCTCCAGAAGGTGGACTTTGAGCTGCTGCTTAAACAACAGGCAGGTACATGTAGGTAGAAATGAATGGACAGGGCACAGGCAATGATATGATTCAGCACAAAAGCAAGCAGAAGTGTGAGTGGCTTTGGTTTCTTTGCAGCACCTTGAGAAATTTGGATCCCTAGAGCAGAGGACAGTTTCTTAAGTACTGGGACTTAGTGGTCAGAGGAGTGCCTTATATACCAGGCTAAGGAGTGTGATTCAGAGAAAGCCAGTAAAAATTTCTCTCAAGAAACTGAGTGAATGAGGAGGCACAATTGAAACCAGCTACAGTTGAAGGCAGAAATAATATTCATATAGACATGAAAGGGTATTTTTCTGGATCTTCTAGGAAGCAGACACCAAGAGGAGATTAGATACACAAGATACATATTAGGAGGAGACAAGATGGATGGACAGGAGAGTGGTCAAACATTGGGTCATGGGACTGGAAGCGTGGCTCTTGGAAGTGTTTTTCAGATCTGGTTATGTGTTAGAAACTCCATTAACTAAGTGGCACTCTTATGCCCAATATTTTTCTTCTCTTTATGTGGACTTGGCACATTTTAGCAATTGCTTATGTCCCTGGAGACTTCACATTTGGAGAAAATGAAATGGTCTGACTTGCTCCTGCTGGGCTCCAGATGGGTGCTGGACCTATTCCTAGAAGAGCATGCTTTTGAGTTTGTACAGAATTTGGGATCATCTGCATATAGCTACCTGTTGCATTTGCATGGAAACTGTTGAGAGTGACTTTGTCTAGGAAAGAGGTTAAAATGAAGGTTAGAAGCTTGTAGTGTGTGTATATATTGATTCAACAAACAAAAGTTATGGGCACTTGCTAGACATTTGACCGGGGAGTGTGTGGGTAAGTCCCTTGCCTTCATCAGCCACTGATTTTAACAAATGTGGCACCTAGCCATAACCATGAGAGGTAGGGACCACTGTTTGACCATGGAGAATAATTCTCCTTGTTGTGCATGGGGAATGCACTCCTTGCTCAGTGTGATGGTAATAGGACAGGTAGCTAGGTAGATTTTACTGCCCTCCAAATAGCTATGCCAGTGATGTCTTCCTTGGCTTGGCTGTTTCTTGCCAAATCTGCACCCTCCCACAGAACGCCATCTGAGGGGTGATCTCTGTGTCCTCCAGCAATGGCCCTGCACGGAAGTCAAACAGCTGAAACTGACTTGGCCATGGACTCTCTTTGACTGCCAATGGGTCACAGCCTCTCCTTTAAGTTTTTTCTTAGTTTACATAAAAGAAATGGAAATGGTGCTGACTGACCCCATGGGGTGCTGGACGAGAATAAATTTCAAAGTGAGTGTTTTAGTGTCAGTTAAATGCTATAAAAATGTTCAATATAATGGCTGATTATTTTTTCTTTACTCTTAAATGGATACCTCCAATGGGAAAGCCCCATCTTGGTAGCAGAAATTCATTATCTCAGAAAGAGTTTAATGGCTGCTGTGCAAATGAACTGGAGGAAGTTAAATTGTGGAATGGGAAGGAGCTGAGAAAAGTGAAATGAGTTGTGCATTAAATTTAGATAAACACAATTATGTGTAACTGGATTATCACGGGTGCAGGCAGGCGCTGTATATTAGGCACCTGCGTTTTGATTAAAATCGATTCAGGTGCATGCGTTTAGCATCCTGGTAACCATGGGGTTGTGCCTAAGTCACTGTCCTGGCTCATGAGGGGCAGCCAGGGAAAGAGCTGCAAGGTCCCCAGTGGGAGAAAGGTGAAGGGCAGGGGACCAGACTGAGCAGTCCCAGACCATTCCAGAGAACTGTGTTCCAGGTGGCTTTGGCTCTCTGGAATATACAGCTTCTTGCTGGATTCCTCTCCTCAGCAGGAGTCAGGACAATGACCATGGAGTCCTGTGCAATGCATGGCAGGGGCAAATGCCACATGAAGATGGCATCAGAGGGTGTGGGCACTGGGCCGTCTGCCCTTCCCATATTGATGGCTGCCAGGGTCCTATGAAGCAGGCACTAATCTCTATGAACTCCTCTGTAGACAGAAGCAGGCCCAGTTCTTTCTTCCCTTTCAGTCTGTCAGTCAGTCAGTCAGTCAGTGCCACCTCCAGATCAAAGCCAACTCAACCTTTGATCTGGGCAGCCCTGCTAGTCAGCAGGGTCACCTGGCTTTGCGTGACCTTGAAGGACAGATGTGGAGAAACAACTGCCCGATACTCTGTTAATTCCTGTTGGTATGTTTTATGTCTAATGCAAAGGATCGACAGGATTAAAATAAATGCTACCAGTTATGGGGTTGCATTAAATTAATAATTTTTCCACTTGCTTGATCCTATAATATCCCTCAACTCAATGGATAAATACTAGGCCTTCCTCTAGGTAATTTGAGCTGCACTGTCTATTGTAACAAACTGAAGTAAGCTTCCTTTCTCTCCCCTTTTGTTCCCTCCTCTGCCCTCGTCCTCCTGCCTCACAGGTTATCCTTATTCTGACGAAGCTCTATGACTTCAACCTGGGGAGCGTGACGGAGAGTTCACTCTGGAGGTAAGTGGATTAAAGTTTCTTCAGCACTTACTTTGAGCTCAGGGGAGGAACGTGTGGTGCAGTTGTGAAGCCTGTTCTGCAAGGAGCGGGAGGTGTACCTCCTCCGGGAAGCCCTCTTAAATGCCCCAGGTGGAGCTGATGTCCCTCCCCCGACCCTGATGAATCCCCTAGTGCTTGTGTGGCTCTTTCATGGCCTATCTCGCGCGCTCCCAGTGCCGTGTGGCTTCTGTATTGTGGTGGAGTCTCACCCTCTAGCACAGGTCTGGGGGAGAACAGACAAGTGTGTCTGGCTCAGGGGGAGACAGTGGGTAAGGATGCTGTGGGACGAAGGATGCTGGATCTGGCTTGGTCTTGGCCCAAGGACTCTTTCCAACCCTTTGACTCTGTAAGATGCTATGGGTCTTGAGAAGTTGGCACTTATGGGAACAGACATGGGTGGTGTCAAGACCGGCATGGGCAATGTCTTTCTTGGCCCCTCACCTTTGTGGACCCCTCCTCCATAGACTAATATTCAAGGGTATAGTTTAGGACTGCCTTGATATAAAGAGAAATAATAACATACTTAACACACTTTAAAACATTTTCCTCAGCCTAAAAGTACATTTTTTTGGTTTTGACTTTAAAAGAAATAAAAAGCATTTATTTTTTAAAAAGCTTGATAAAATCATTTGTTAGCATTTATACATAATTTTTGAAAAAAAAATTTTTTTGCATGGCAACATTGGCTTATAGCACTGCAATGATTCAGAGGTACAGATTCACCCCTCTTCATGTGTATGTGGCCACACCACACTCACCAAAGCACCCATAATCCTCCACCACGGTCCCTGGGACCTTTCTACATTTTTCTCTGCACCCTTCCACTTCCCATTGGGAGCCACAATTCTGCAGTTGTATTTCTAGGGATTGTTTGGGTTTAGTCTGTTCCTTTGTTTTCTTTCTTTGGAGTCCATACAAGATTGAAATCATCCAGTATTTATCTTTCTCTTTCTGACTTAGTTTGCTTAGTATCATCCCCTTGAATTCCATCTAGGTTATAGCCAATGGAAAGACTTTTTTTTCTGTTTTTATGGCTGAGTAGTATTCCACAGCATGTGTATATAGACTGATATGTTCTGCATCTCCTTAAACCACTCATCTGCGCTTGGCCCTGAGCCGTAACTTGGCTCTTGTGCATAGCGCTGCGTTGACACAGGTGCTCATGTGTCCCTCTCCCTTCCGATCTATACCATAGGATCGAAGAGTGAAAACATTTTGTGGGCCCAGGCATTGTCTCCATTGTGCCTGCTGTGTAGTTTGCTGGGATGGGGTGCTGGGCACCAGGCTAGGTCAGAGAGGGCAGTCATGGAGCCTGGAACCCAGGAATTTCTTTGGATGGGAGCCACATGCACACTCACCCTCCACACTCCTCCTCACACAAATGCACACGCTCGTGCTCACATCACGCTGCCTGCAGCAGCTTGGGGCAGTCAAGTTTCATCAGCCCCTGCAAGCCGGCTCCTCGTGCTCTGTGCCTGCTGTGCCGCAGGACCCACGAGGGCTGCGTCTATCCTGTTTGCTCATCTTTGGTAAACACTGGGGAGGGTGCGATTACAAAAGGGCAGCCATGTGGCTGTCCCAGATCCTGCTCTGAGGGTTTCCTGGGGCCTTGGAGCAGAGGGGTCTGGGATGTGGGTATCTGTGCACTTGACTGCTTCTTCATCTGACCTATTTATTTGCAGACGATTCGCCAGTGTCTCTTTCCCAGGAAGGCAGGAGTGGGGGCAGTCACAGCCTCTATTAAATATTTAGGGGTTAATTGCTCATATCGACTGAGGCCTGCCTCCATTTGCACAGGATGTTCAAAACCTAATTTTGCTGCTCAGTGAAAATTGGCTGAGGTGTAAGTAACCAGGGTGTCTCTGATAGATGAGAGCATGGCTCTTCTCGCTCAAGCGGGACTCCCAGGGAATCAGGGCCTCAGAAACTTTCCCTTGGGGTCCAATCCCTGTGATCTGGTGCTGATCCTTTAAACCGAGCTCCTGCTCTGTCTGCTTGATGCAAATGTGGGATAAGCTGAAAATCCTGTCCTCACCATGGGAAGCAGCTCTTGCTGGCAGCCTCTATTCCGGGAAAAATCTGACTAGCTTTACCAGTGGGCCCAGGCCAGGTGCTTCATGCTGGAGCTCCTTAGCTGCCCAAGTGTGTGCCCCACTGTGCTGAAGGCCAGAAGGGCCACTGCACTAAAGCCAGCAACAGCCGAGGGACCCCAAGACACCCACTGTCCAGCTGCCGGGTTCAAGTCCTACTTTGCTCTCGAAGGGCTCTGCAGCTTCGGGCACCTCACCCACCCTCTCTGTGTCGGTTCCTTGGGCGGCTGTAAGTGCTACCTGGGCTGCTTAAAACAGCAGAGGTTTATCCTCTCCCATCCGGAGGCCAGGCACCTGAAGCCAAGGTGTCTTTAGTCCCCCTCCCCCACCAGGGTCTAGAGAGGTGCTGCCTTGCCCCAGCTGATCCTGGCGCCTGTGGACTTTCCTTGCGGCTTCACCCCTCCAGCCTCTGGTTTCACTCTGCACGTGGCCTCCCCTCCCCTCCCCTCCCTCCCCTCCCCCCCTCCCCTCCTTCCCTCCCTCCCCTCCTCTCCCCTCTCATCTGTCTTCCCCTTTTCTGTCCCTCCAAGGACACTTGTCATTAGATTTAGGACCCACCAAGAGATGATGTCATCTGGAGATCCTTAATTTAATTACATCTGCAAAGACACTTTTTTTCCCCAAGAAAGGTCTCATCACGGGTTCTGAAGGTCAGGATGTGACATATTTGGGGGAGGTCACCATTCAACCCACTTCGCTCTCTCAGTCTCCCCGAGTGTCATGGGGTACTATCGAACCTCCTTTTGCTCCCATCCCAGGTCCTTGCTGTCCCTCAAACACACTGGGCCCCCCTGATCTTGGGCTCCTTCCTCTCCTGAGTGCTCCTCTCCCAGGGTTTGGGGCTCCCTCACTACCTTCACCTACTCAGTGAGACCTTCCCCAGCCTCCACCTTCCATCACTTCACTGCATTTTCCTCCTTAGCGCTTTTCACCATCAGGCAAGCTAGATGTTTGTTTGTTTGTTTATTTATTTATTTATTTATTTATTTATTATTTATCTATTTATCTATTTATTTATTTTTTTTCCTTCTTCTTTTTAAATGCTAAGGGGAGCAGAGGGCGTGACAGGAGAGGTCTGTTATGCCATGTGAGTTAGCTCCCTGGCCAGGCATCAAACTCAGGCCAGAGTGGTGACAGCTCTCAGACTTTTTTTTTTTTAAGATTTATTTATTTATTTATACAAGCTCTGGGTACAGTCAGAAGCGCGGGAGGGTGAGAGAATTCACCAGAGCCAGAGTGGGGAGCAGAGCAGGCAGAAGGACGAAGTACACTGCTGAGGGGAGCAGCGGGCGGCAGGAGAGGTCTGCGTGCCATGTGGGACCCTCCTCTGGTGGCCGGGGAGCAGCCGGGGATCGAACCAGCACTGCAGAGGCTGCGGGCAGCTTCACAACCCAGAGCTCAACCGCTGCGCCACCAGGGAGGCCCTAAATATTGATTTATTTATTGTCTACCTACACCCACTAACATCTCAGCTTACAGAGAAAGCAATTCCCCTTCTACCCACCCCACTCCTCGTTTTTGATTTTCTTCTGGATCCTCAGCACCTATATCAGTACCTGGCATATGGGAAATACTTAATAAATGTTTGTTCAATGAACAAATGAATAGATGGATTGTAAAGACTCTATGAAATAGATGTGCAAACACTGAGGACAGTAACTCATGTGGGGAGTGCTCCCTTAATTGTGATATCAAAGGATTATTATAACACTGTGTGTTTGTACAATTTTTATTCCATTATTACTGATTTTATTAATGAGGATCCATCAATCCGGGGCCTTGTGATGGAAATTGTATGTCATCAAGGGAATGAATTCTGTGTTATCTAGGAATTAGCAGATATCTTCAGAGGTGATGGCAAGGATTGAGGAGGGCAAGAGGAGGATTTGAATATTGTCCCTGGTTCTGATTAGGGCAAATTAGAATATCTACCTCTTCAGAGATACTCCTTTGTAGACAAGATTCTCTGAGCTGAGTGTTGGAATATTGGGTGGGTGCAATTTGGCAAATGAAAATCCTAAAAATGGCCCCAACACAGCGAGAAGGCCAGGCCAGGCTGGGCCACAGGACAGAAGGGAGAAAGCAGGAGCAGAGCAAGCAGCCGGGTGCTGGACCCGGTGGGGCTGGTGGACACGAAGGTTTCCCGAGGGGGCCCTCCTAGTGGGGTTACATAGAGTATATAGTTTATAGATAACAGATTCCATATGGTGTGACCTTTAAGGGATTTGAAAAGCTGGTGGATTTTATGGGTTTTCCTTCTGGCCAAATGCTGTATATGAATGTATTTTTGTGGTGTGTTAGGAGGACTCACAGGTGTGACAAAACCCAGCTTAGGGACCCCTGGAGAGAGTGTGATTGAGGAAAAGCACTGCTCTTAAACCTTGTGGGAATTTTCCAACTTTTGGGGCCTTGCAGGGTGTCTTCTCATATTTTTATTCTCTCCCCAATTTATTCCTTAAAGAAACGTGTCTTTCCCTTCTCTGTTCTCATGATGATGATGTATTTTACACATATCCTAGAATGCTATGATTTTCCTTACTGATACAGTATGTAGAGAAAGGAAACTAAATTAAACATGCACACTTATTTTTGGTTTTATGATTGGGCTGCACATGCTTCACCAAGTTGAAATTTAATTTGGCGATTCTTCTTCAATTTTCTGTACAATAGAGAAGCCTGGAGCTGTCGCTGTCAGGGCAAGATGACACCCCTGCCAGGTTGCAGTGTGATATAATTATTTGCCTCACTGGGTTAATAATTCAGAGGCTGTCTACTTCTAAACAGACAGAAGACTATTTAAAAGCATTCAGCAGGGTAACTGGGTCACCTGTCCTTGTGACATTCATTCTGGAAGTTCTTGGTATTCTTAGA